TTTCTCCACTCTGCCCGTATTCACACTCTGAGGAAATTTATTGCTTATAGGAGAACATGAACTAGACATCAATAACAAGAACATCATTATCATTGTCTTTCAATCTAGCTGTATCAAATATATCATAAGTTACAATAATTCTTCAACTGTACTATCAAATATCTGACTTTCTTCCATACCCAAGTTAGAGCATACGAGAGTCTTTCAAGCCTCGTCTTTAGCATTTCTAGTGTTTGTTATTTTGTGTGGTGTTTGCCGTCATCAGGTTTGTGTTTAACCTCTGCAGTGCGCTGCAGTCCACTCGAGAAGTCTTTGACTTGGTCCCGCCACCCTTCAAGCTGCGCTTGCCAACCGCCATGTTCTCGTGCAGCCCCCACCAGGCAGTCAAGCCAGGCCAGTCAGCCCGTCAGCCCGTCAGCCCGTTAGCCAGTCAACCGGCTGGCATTGTGCACCCGCCCCCGCATGGTTGGGCTGCGTGCTGCGAGCGTAGCTTTTAACCACTCGTTTGCTCTTTAACGCGTTAACGGGTTAAGTTGCCTATGTGCCATGTTTGCAACCTCCATCTGCAGCCATATTTGTTGCTGTTGTTGTCAGGAGTCCTGCTTGCGGTGCCTTTTTATGTGGCCATCAAAGCAGGACTACAACAGCAACAACAACAACAGCAACAACTTTGGTTTGGGTGACTCCGGCCACATGTGTAATTAGTTGACGCTGACTTTGTCATAACTGTTTCACACACACAAACACACACACACACACCAGCAAGGGGCGGATTCGAGTGGCAGGAGGCGGCAGGAGCACACCGATGCTGAGGCGTGAGTATTTGTCGCCTTTAAATGCCTTGTGGCCACATTTTAAAGTCATTTTGAGGTGGGGTCAAAGCTGCCGCAAGCCAACTCGAGTTGCACCAAATTTTTTCTGCCCAGCGCTAATCGACGCCCATTATGAAGTGGTCGCCGGATGACCTCTCCAGCCGCCCGAAAAAAAAGAACAAGAACTGGTGGCTTTCGGTTGCCGGCGCTGCAGGCAACTTCATTGCCGGCCAACAACTGCGGCTACTTCAATTTTTTGTTAAGCTGCTCCTGCTGCTGCTGCTGCCCCTGCTCCTGTTGGTGCTACTGCTGCTGCCCCTGCTCCTGCTACTGCTGCTGCTGCTACTTCTGCTCCGGCCGCTGCCCCTGCTGCTCCTGCTGCATTCATTTCAGATTTTCAGCTTACAGCATTCAGTTTTCAGTTGCAGGCCCAAAACTGACAGCCGTCCGTCTGCTCCCAACCAATTGCCATGTCTAGCTACGCTTGAAGGATGCGGCTTTGTCGCTCTGCCCCCGCCTCAGTGCCGCACCCACTGTCTGCTGTGTGTCGCACGGCCTGCGGTTACAGCAGCGGCTGTTTTTGCCTTTTGCTTTTGTTTTCAGTTCACTTTTTTTTCCCCATCAAGTGCTCCACAAAGCTCCTTCGGCCAGCCAAGGTAGGCCAGCAGCAGCAGCGGTAGCGGCAGCGGCAGCAGCAGCCGCCGGTCTTTGTGCATAGTTTCGAGCAGGCATAAAGCGTTTGCCGCAAAGTTTCAAAACAGCGCAGAAAAGGAATTTGCCAAGTAGTAAAACTAATTATTATACTACAACTAGCTGCGCCTGGCTACGCTTGGCTACTCCCGCCCCATCTTCATACTATATTGAAATATAGCTCGTTTTCTCTACTTTTTAATATATTTATAATAATTCTTATGTCTAGCGCGGGCACTTCAGAGAGGCAGTGAGAGTGAGAGAGAGGGGCGCATTTCTTTCGCTGTTTTGACGCTTCTTTATTAGTCGCTGGCAGCGCGGTCGCTTCATTTTTCTCCATCAGAGCGCTTGTCATAATTTTATTAGGGCCACGTCGCCTTCGCGCTCTGGCTCTTGCTCTTGCTCTTGCTCTGGCTCTGGCTCTGGCTCTGGCTCTGGCCGCGTCCTGTCAGCATGATAACTCCTTTTCGTGTTAAACATTTTCAGCTTGGCTCTGGCCCACACTGTATGCCGAGTGTATGTTCTGCATTATGCGGCAGCTGTCGACTGTGGACACACACACCAACACCAACACACACACACTCACGCACACACACACTCATTCACATTTAGATGCGGCTTTGGTCACACTCTCAAGCGTCCGTTGCACGCGACGTCCTGATGGTGGCTCTGTATCCTGGCTGTGGTATACGAGCTGCGACTTCTCTAGAGTCAACTGCATGTCAGTTCGTGTGTGTGCGTGTGTGTGTGTGTGTGTGCGCAGTGATTGTTGCTCGAGTGTTGCAGCTGCCTGCGCTTGATTACAATGCGCCTCATGCTGGAGTTCTGGGTGTACCCTGGCATCGTTTGCACTGATAACACGTTAAGTGCGCTGGTTTATCCTGCAAGATAATTTGGACAAGTGACACCTCTCGGATTTTCACGCGCCGGCCAAAATAACAGAGAAAAAAGAAATGATGGAGGGGTGGGGTGGCTTAAAAAAAAAAAAAAAAAAAAAAAAAAATAGTAGCAACGTTGACAACGTTGGAAATGCCGCAACTTTTCTGAAATATGCACAAAATTTGTTGGCAACCTGGTTTTGGGGCTTGTTAACTGGCCGGCTAGCTGCTGCTGCTGCTCCTGCTGCTGCTCCTGCAGCTACAGCAACGGCAATGGCTATAGTTGCAGGTGCAGCTGCTGTTTGGGAGCAGCCAGCTTCCAGTTGCTCGTTGCCGGGTTTCTAGTTTCTGAACACATTTTGCGTTCGCTCGTTTTCTTTTTCCCTCCTCTTTTTTTTTTTTTTTTGGTGTCGCTTATTACCGGCGCGTCGAGTTTTTGTAGCATACTTTTTCGGGTTGGCACACGCGTAATTGGCGCCTGGTCGGTTTCTCGAAATGCTGCGGCTTTTAAATATTAGTTTAGACTAGCACAACTCCGGTCATATGGCTGGCAGCTGTTGGCCCGCAAATGCAGGTGTAGCAATTACGGTCTCACAGCAACCGCAACCAAATGGCAACGAGCACAAACATTAAACTACGAAGATTTTTCGAGTTGGCTGTAGCTGTTGGTAATCTTGTACCGGATTATAATGAATATATATGTAATGAATATACAAAAAGCTACTCTGCTAATCTATGGCAAGTTATTTATTATGAATATTTACTTTCAGTTCTTAATAGTATGGGCTTATTGGCGAAATTCACAAGGTTCCTTCATGCGGCCAAATTTCATTTCCTTCGGGAGTTCAAGTCTGTGACTGGGCAGCTGTATATAATTATATATAGTCAGCACTGTAAGCTCATAAATTAAATATGCAAATTTCATAATTAGGGCAATGAACTTAGCCACACGTTTTAGCTGAATATAATGCATCTTTTAAATTAAATATGTAAATTTGATAATCAGGCCAATGAACTAGGCCGAAGAAAGAGACTAGAATAGAGAATATACATATATATAAAATATAAATATAAAATATAAAATATAAAATATAAAATGTAAAATATAGAATATAAAATATAAAATATAAAATATAAAATATAAAATATAAAATATAAAATATAAAAAATAAAAAATAAAATAAAAATATAAAATATATTATATGTTATATATAATCAATTAAAATAAGTCATCCATGTAGTAGATTAATATTCTTCTTTATTATATTTCTCCAAGCTAAATACAAATTTCTCCTACTCTCTTCATTAGCACAGCTGAAGCAATAGTTGACATTCCATTACAGCATTCTAACAGATGATATAGTAGACTCTCGCATATCATCCATATTGGACAAGTGAAATATGGAAGATGAGCTGCTAAATACTTTTGGAGCTGTCATGGGGTTTGCGCATGTGCCACAGTTTGACAGGAATCAGATGTTTTGGCACATTTGGCGCCAGGCAGCTGCGTTTGTTGTTAACCTTGTCAGCGAAACAGGCAAACAAAACAAAAGCCAAAAAGCGCTGGGCTAGAGAAGGGCCCAAAGCAAAGAGCAACAACAACAGAGAGACGCACAGACGGCTGCCCACGTGCAGCAGGAGAGAGAGAGAGGAAGAGGGAGCGAATGATAGAGAGACAGAGTGAGACAATTTTACTCTGGGTTAACAGAAAGCGCAGTGAGCGCTAAGCTTTACGGCCCTTGCTGAATGGAAAACACTGAGCAAGAGAGCGTGAGAGCGCGAGAGCGAGAGAGCGCACGATTGGAAAAGCTTTTGGCGAATGCTGACGCTGTCGCTGGCTCTGCTGCTGCTGCTGCTGCTGCTTTCGGGGGCGTCCAGGACCCGTCAGCGAATCGAGTTGTGGCCGTTGTGCGTTGCGTTGAACGTCAGTAGTTGGAACAAGGACGCGTAGCGTGCAGAAGCTCGAGCGCAAAAAGCCGTGCTCGCGTAACGGGCCCAAAGAAAAAAATCCCAAGTGAAGCCTAAATCGCACACCAACAAATTTGTATCCTCTGTGTCGCCGCGTATTCCTGTGTGTATGTGTGTGTGCGCGTCTCTCAGTGTATTTGTGTGTGTTTTGTCAAAAGTCAAAAGTGAAATGCAGCTAAATCAGCTGGCACAGCACATCAATTTGTTGGATATACGCTAGCGTTACGTATACGCAACGTGTGACCGCTGAAGCGCTCCTCGCCCGCGTGGCCCGTGTGTGCGAGTGTGTCTGTGTGTGCGAGTGTGTCTGTGTGTGTTTATTGATTGCACCTTATCTCTGCGTCGCTCTCAAGGATACGAAATATCGAGCTCATGCTTTAAAATGTTACCAAACCGAAGTCGGGCAGCTGCAGTGGCGCCATAAAACTGTTGCCCCCAAACGACAGTCGGACAGCCAGTCAGCCAGCCAGCCTGTCTGTCTCTCTGTGCGTGCGTGTGTGTGTGTGTGTGCGCTAGTTCAAGGTCACATTTTTTGTGCGGTCACACTGACAAAATGTCGCAAGCAAAAACCTAAAAACAAATACAAACAACAGCATTTCTCACATATTCAAAGCGAACAACAACAACAACAACAACGAGTCAACAGCAGCAGCAGCCGCTTCAGCACCTTCAAAACAAATTAAAGTAAGCAAAATAAAATTGAAAAAAAGAGGGAAAATCTATACACATATATATATAAAAATGAGAGTGTCGAATCGGTCGAGTGAATATCGAAGAAATCGTATTACAGTCATGGCAAAGGCAACGAACTGAAAAAGTTCACAGTATGTCCATAAGTTTATCCTTCAGTTTAGTCTTGGCAGCGGACACTCACACCCAAAAGTAAATGCCAGACAGCCTTAAGCCGGCTATAACAACAACAACAACAACAACAACAACAGCAGCCCATTGAGTGTGAGTGTAGCACAGGTCATGTGACTGGCCCTGTTTTGTAGGACAACGAACTGAACATCAGCTTCTGCATTATTTTGTTCCTTCGTATCGAAAATACATATTTTTTCATCTGCTTCTTCTTCTACTGTTTGTTTTTTTTCGGTGGCTTGACACAGTTTGTGTCCCTTTTTGAGTAAGCTGCTATAAAAAACTAGCAAATCGCTTACAATACGATGGCAATTTTTTCAGGTAGTGTTAAGAGATTGCCTGAACAACATTTGATAGCTCCAGCTGTGACATATTTCAGAGATTGCAAAACGTTGCTGCAGCTGTGGGAAATGTAGAGCTAATGATGTGATGATGATGCTACACATAATTAGGAAAATATTTGCCTTTAACTTTGAGTAATTTCATAACATATGAGCTGCTGAATTTATCTACTGTGAATGAGTTTGTGTATTTAATTGAAACTGCAAAGCAAAGTTTAGATATTTTTATTAAAAAAATAAACAAATAAATAAAATAAAAATTTTAATTATAAACTGTTTAGATATTTTTATTTAACAAAAAAAAAAATAAAAAATAATAATAATAATAATAATAATAATTATTATTATTATTATTATTATAAATCTGAAGAAACTGTTTGGTAATTTTTATTGAAAAAAATAATAATAATAATAATAATATAGTAATTATTAAATATTAAAAAAATATATATATTTGTATGTATATATGTATATATTTTTTTTTTAATATAAAAATATCAAAAAAAGAAAGATTTTGCTTTCAATTTTAATACATACATATTTTGCATCTATTTTAATAAATATATATTTATATTTTTATATAAAAATATGTCAGGAAAAAGTTTTTTGCCTTAAAATATGTTATATATGTATATATTTTTGTTGATATATGTATTTCTTAATATTTTTTTAAAAATATTAAAATTAAATGTATTTTGCATTAAATTATAATATATTTTTATTTGTATATATACAAATTTTTAGTATTTTTTTTTTTTTTTTTTTTTTTTTTACACATTAAAATCCAGTTTTGCCTTAAATAATATAAAATTTTAATTTTATACATTTTTCTCCAGTATTTAAATACCATCAAAAGAAAATAGTGGAGCACACGTTAAGCAGAATAAAGTGTATATCAATTTATTATTCAAATTGAGTTGTTCTCCATTTAGCAGCTATCTGTCTTGGCTGGCACTCAAGGCACTTCGCCTCCAGTTGATTGTGAATAATTTTATGATTCATTCACACATGGCAGAAGCTGTGCGAGTGCGGATTGGTGTGGCATACCAAAGGCATTTGAGCAGCCGTCGCATATTTTGGCAACTGAAGCATGCGAGCAGCAAAAATTTATTCGGTTTACCCAGTTTAGTATGCATAAAATGTAAGAATATCTTAGATGTTCGTTTTCGCTCTCAGTTGGACTATTCTCCGTGCTATCTAAATAAACACTTCATTTGTGCCCGGAGTCAAGTGTTGTAAGCAACTTTTGTACAGTGCCTTGCGGGCGAACGGGCGAACTGCATTGCTGATAAATCATAGTGTTTAGCCACGCCCGCACCTAGCCACTTGGACACTTGTAGGTCTTGGCCTGACCCCGCCGGGCAGCCAACTGATTTATTCAACTAAGAACAAAAAACACGTTACATTGACCACACACACACACACAGACACTCACAGACACACACTTAGCCCAGTTCATGTTGTGCTGACATCAGCTGTTTGGATAGCTAAGGGCTTAGATTTTGGACTGACCTCGTTTTGCTGCGACTAGGCAAGAAAACCCCAAAAATCCAGGCAACAGTAACAGCAACAACAACAACAACAACAGCAACAACAATGACAAGCAACAGAAATATGCTGTTGTCCAATGCGCAAATATTTGTCGTAATGCGTTGCACAAACAAGCGCACTAAGCAGACCAAAGCAAACCAAACCAAACCCAACCCGAGCTGAAGCAAGAAATGAAAGCACATAATGCATAACTCATACGCAACGTGGGCGAAACTCTGTTTGATATTTTCTTTTAGGGCAACAGCAAACGACAAACGACAAACTTACTTAGCCAACATCAAATATGCAACATGGCCAAATTATATGTCTGACATCCATTATTGATAAGGACAAAGCTCTAGCCTTATCTACAGGGCGACTTGTCTAACATTTGGCAAATTAATTTATATATGCATAAATTTTGTTTAATCTGTTTAAGTTAACTTTGCTATGAACTGTTTTTCGACAAGCTTTTAAAAATGAAATTGAAATGCAATTTAATTTCAGCTCAAGCGAGAGCTTAGCCATGACTCGAGTTGAAGTATGTCTTTAAAAAATGTATTTAACAATTTTTTTATACATATGTATATGTGTATATAATATTCATGTTAAGCTCAATCTTCTTCTGCTCCTACAAGCTTAACATATTTGAAATATATGTGTGTTTAACATATATGAAATATATATGTATATATGTATAATATTTAAATTCATTCTTGCTGCAATCTCAGCATTTCGAGACGTACTCGAAGTCCAACTAATACACTTTGTTCTTAAAACGGCAAATTCAATTACAACTTAAGCGAAACTCAAGTACTTAGTGAAATTTGTTTTGAGTCTCAAAATATGCCTCGATTTAAGAGACAGGTCTCAAATTCCTTTCCATACTCTTGAGTTCTGAGAAGAAGAAACAGTCGCTGGAACTCGAGTCCGCATACGGAAGCAATTCAAAGCTGAATTCAAGAAATATGGTAAAAGGAAAATTTGTTAAATAATTTAAAATCAAATTTGATTGCAGCTAAAGCGAAAGTCCAGCGAAGCTCAAACCGAAATATTTCTGTTATGCTATGAATTTATATATGTATGTAAACGCATATATATTACACTATATATGTTATATGTTTTATACACTCACTTGACATCTATACGCTGCTTAAGATATACACTCTTATATTTAAAAGCTAATGCCGTATGCACAACTCAATTCCATTCCATGAACCAGCTCTTGTTGATTTATGTGCCAGATTTTTTTTTTTTCTGTTTTTCTCTGTTTGTAAAACGCTGCTTCTTTTATTTTTCATTTTGCTTTCTATTGCAACGTTAACTAGTTTTCGAGAGTTGTGTGTGGCAGCATTTTACTCCAATTAAATTTTCATGCCATATGAGCATTTTGTGCAGCAACAACAACAACAACACGAACAACAACAAATGCTGGAGTGCCAAGCGAACGTGGCGCTATTTTCAATTTCCGTTCCCTCACAAAAACTGCAAAAGGAATGCGATTTTTTGCCAACACAATCTCACATAGGAATAGTCAAGCAGCGTGCGGATCTTGCTATATGTTAACGACAAAACTCGGACGGACTGGCAGCCAGTTGGCCAGACGGCCAGTCGGCCCACTGAGTTAGTTGTAGCACTTGCATCGGCGGCACTTGGCACACAAAATTGTTGACGTTTAAAAACGGAAAATAAAGAAAAGCCAATAGGAAAGTGAACAAGAAGTGAAATGAAATGAGTCGATTGACTCACTGACTAACAGAATGTCCGACTGACTAACTGAATGACTGACTGCAGCACTGACTGACTGACTGAATGACTGCCTGCCTGCTTTGCCACACTGATTGACAGTTCAAGCTCGTTGCCCGTTGCCCGTTGACCTCGACTTGCAATTTTAGCATTTGGGTCATTTCCGAATCGTGTTTGTGTAACTGGCTTTACGTTTAAATATGGCAAAGGCCTTCTGACAGGACATTTGTCTGCCTAGCTATATATATATAAAATGGTATAGAAGAAGAGCTGTCAGAGATACATACAGCTTGCATATGAGATATACAAATACATATGTCAAATCTCCAATACAGTTATACGAAAATCTCTTTCTGTAATGAAATCATCTTTCAAAACGCAAATCGATTTTTTTTTAAATTTTATTATTTTCTACAATGTTTTATATACCATATATGAGATATTTGCATAGCTTTATCAGGAATGCAATCAGTAAGATTTAACGATTTTAACATACAGTTTATTTATTATAATATTTTATATTTTATCATTATAAGACAATCAGTTAGATTTATTTATGATTTTGTATTTGAAAATTTACTTATTATTTATATTTTACTTTTATCATTATAAGGCAATCGGATAGGTTTATTTATGATTGATTTATTGATATTATATATTTTGTTTTATTATATATTTTGGTTTTGTTTGTTTTTTTTTTTAATTTTTGTTATTTATATTAAAATTTGTTTATTATCTATTTATTTAATTATTTTTTATTTATTTATTAAATTAATTTTGTTTAATATTTAATGTTTTTATTATAGAAAATATATGACTGAGTAATATATTCATATTTTTAATTATTGGAATTTTTGCTTGAGCTCTGTATAAAAAAAAAATAAATAAATAAATAAACAAATAAATAAATAAAAATAAAATAAAAAATCATGGTATATGATTCACAAAATTTAAACTCTTGCTTCATAAATATATATGTATATAAATATATACAAAGCTTTATCAGCAATGAAATCATCTTTAGAAAATCCGCTAGACTTATTTTGATTTTTCTTATTTATCCGATTCTTAATATTTTATATATATATATATATATATATATATATATATACAGGGCTTAGTCTTTTATCAATACAAATAAAAATCAATAAAGACAAAGCAACGGGCAGCATTTAAAGCTAAATGTGTGTGGCACAACAGCAGCAA